GACGCTGACAGTAGATCTGTGTGGCCTCCTTTTCAGAGGTGCCTGCTTTCTCTTAATGCTAACTTGTTTTCCTGTTTTCTGGTCCTCTTTTGGCTCTTATTACCAAGGGGTCATCCCAGCATGTCAAAGAGATGATCAAAGTGAAAGAAAGGTATTTGAAGGAGTCTAATTGTTCCCCAAGATACATGATCTACTCTAGATAGACTCCCAAGCAACTCAAGAGGGGAAACCCTACAAACAGACTCCACTTTTTGAAAGCCAAAGCCACAAACTGGAAAAGGAGATGCAGCTACTTCCTAGGTCTGGCTACCTTTGATTGAGTCCCTAATACAAGTTGACACTGCACTGGGTACTTTTTGCATGTTGATTTCATCGAAATATCCTAATGTAATTATGCCCATTTTATGGATAAGTAAACCAAGGGATAGATGAATGAAGTGACTTGACTCAAATCACACAGCATGTGGGAGAAATTCCAAGCCTGTCCATCTGATAATTTGGTATAAAAAGAAAAACAGATCTGCCAGGTCTCATCCAGGGCTTTAGGTGAGATTTATACCCATTTCTCACCCTGTTCAATCTGTAGGTATATGATTGACACACAGAGATGCAGAAAGGAATGGAAATGTTCTGCAGAAAGATGAAGAAAGAGCATGTGAGCCATTTCTTTTCTCTCCATCTTTGGAGACTGCTGACAGAGGAAACAGAGATGGGTTCACATCCAGGCTCTGTCTGCTGAGAACCTGTGGGACTTTAGATCAAGTCATTTCAACTCTGTGAAACTCAGATTCCTCTCTTGTGAAGTACGGGCGATGATACACACTTCTTAGCGTAGTTGTGAGGGCAAAACATGCAGGCACAAGGGACGTGCCCAGCATCATCAAGGAAGCACCCAGGCAGAGTCAGATTTCTTCCTACTTCCACATGTTCCCCATCCCAGAAAGCCAAGACTGAGATCTTTGGAAAATCATGTCTAATAAGAACGAAGTCTGCCGAGCACTTAACTGTATACCAAGTCCAGTTTCCAGTGCCTTCTACATACAAGTTCTCTTAGCATTTACAGCACTCGATGAGATAAGTACTTGTGCCAACACCACTTTGTATAGGAGGAAGGTGTATGAATGAAGTCCAGAGAAGTCAACTAGCTTGCTGGCCCAAGGTCACACAGTCAGTGAGGGGCAGATTCCACTTAGGTAACCTGGCTACTAGAACTGAGTTCTAACCATTACAGTATTCTAGTTCCCAGGTAGGACTACAGACAGTAGGGGAAAGCCTTGTTCATATATGGACTCCTAGCTTTACATTAAAACCCAGCCCTCACTGTTACAGCAATGCTGAGTGGAGAAAATGTGGGCACTCTTTTAGGGCTGTGGGTACTAGGAAGTGAGGCTGCAGAAGGGAAGGAAAAAAAAATTCTCAGAAGTAACCAGCACACTCAATCCAGTCCAAAAGAAAAAAGGTCGGCAAGCAGAGGTGCTGGATGGGATTCAGATAAATCCCTTTCTTCTTAGCAGGAATTCCAAATCACTAAGGGCAGGGGAGTGTGACGGGGTGGGAGCAGGGCAGTACTTGTGGGGTCCACATTTCACTTACCTAACAGGTCAGGAGAAACTTTAACAAGGTGAACTGCTGCTCAAGGCCTCTGCTCAATGGAGCAAATGGAGACTTTTGTTTTACTTTTCTTTCAGACTGGAGGGGTACTGGGGGGGCAGTTGGGGATGAGGAGCAGGGGTCTGGTTCCTCCTGCCTGGTGTGGTACAAAAGCAAAGGGATGTGTCAGAAAAAAAATCCCCCAACCCCTGACTTGAAAGGGAGTCCAAATTGCTATGCATGAAGGCTGAAGAAAGATTGTGTCTGGAGGGTGGGTCTGTGTGGGGTGAGAGGTGATGGTGTTTATGAGACACATTCTCTTGGAGGTGCAGGAGGCAAGGCCTGGAAGTCAGATGTCAGGGATTAAATCCTAGTTGCTGGCACTGGGGAACTGTGTCATCCAGCACACACCCCTCCCCTCTCTGTGTCTCTTTCTCCCCATTCAGCCAAAAGGGAACCTGGCTCGGGTTTAACCTCAGAGGGCCCTTCTCACAGTAGCCTTCAAGGATTCTTCAATCCTAAAGACTATCCACGGTGGACCCTCCAGAGAATCCTACACATAGGCACTTTCTAACTTTGGCTTTGTTTTTGCCTGCATAAGGTTTTGGTTTTGGTTTTGTTTTTTTTTTTTTGTATTAATATATTTTTTTTCTCCTTTCTTTTCAGAAAAATAAAAGGCATGTTTTCTGAGCTTCAGAAGCAAACTGCTCCTTCGCTCCTTCCCCCTGTCTCTCCGAGCGCCTGTCTGAACTGGTGTCAGTGAAGTTTGAACCGGGGCAGAAATAGCATCCCGGGCGGATCTGGGAGCATAGCCCGCCTACCAGGAGCGGCAAGGCCTGCCTCTGCCAGACGACAGACCCGGTTAACAGCACCGTAAAATTAGACCTTTACGAAACCCAATTGAATCCTGCAGCAAAGAGTGATGTAAGGCAGCCTGGCCTGACAGCAAGGCAGCGACTCTTTGCCTGAAATAGCAGCGCGGTCCCTGCTGAGCGATGACAGCTCTCTCAAGATAGGTGACCAGGGATTCCTAGGAAAGTGGCAACGCCCAGCCACAGAAAGCCAGCAGAGGGTCAGGCAGCAAACTGGGCACCTGAGGTCGCAGCCAGAGGGTAAGCCTTCGCACCGGATCCTTGCTGCCCACCTTGGTCCTGCCTCTCCCAGCCCAAACTTACACCAAGGAGGGAGCTGAGAAAGTACTTCTGCAAAGAACCTCTGTTTGTTTGCTTTTTAATTCAAGGAGAGGCAGGTTCTTTTTAGTCCAACAGCCTGTACCATGTGGAGGATATGCAGAATGAGTCTTTTCTGGCTCGGAGCCAGGTGTTTACACACCGCCAAATCTGGCTCGAACTCAACTAGGGGAGGGAAAAGAAATCCACCAGAATCCTCAGGAGAAAAGCTCCTGGCTTTCTGGTGCTACACGACAGCAGTGCCTTTTTTTTTTTTTTCCTTTCTTCGTTTTGAGAGGAATGTTATTTCCACACATAAAACGGACCAGGCATTTTATACAAGCAATAATAACCTAACGTCCCCCATCCAATTAAAGTATTTTACTGCAACAATCTTTGTGTGAGAGAGTGAAAGCGTGTGAAGAGAGAGTCCTTGTCTGAATTATAGACATTTATAAAGCAGTCTCCTTTGGAATCCCAGGTGTTTAATATATATGTATATACATGTATTTATGTAGACACACTTACATCGTTAAAATGCATTCACTACCCTTTCACAGATGATACCTGCATAACCCTGTGCTCTCCTCTCTCCGGGGAATGCCTTCCAAATCACAGGTAAAGACTAGGAAAAACCAGACTTACAGATTTAAAAAAACAAAAACAAAAACACCTCCAAGCAGCAGTCTCTGTGCTTTTTCACATGCTTGGAAAGAGAAGTCAACATACTACAACCCGAAATTATCACCATCGTCATTGTTATTAAGAATAAACGTCTCCTCTGCTCCAAATTAGACCCACCTTTGGGCAAATAGGGCTTGCGAGTTAAAAGTGAATGAGTTCAGTTTCCTTCTTCTTCCCGGGGAAAAAAGAGGAAAAATACCATGCGATGACGTCAGTTGTGGGTTGTTGGGGGGAATCGCTGTTTCTCTCTCCTCTGATAGCGGGAAAGCGGGGGCTATGGAGCACGTATTCTTGGGGATAGCAGCAGAGTGTGGCTCTCCTAAAGGGGTCTTCAGGTCAATCGGATAATCAGTGCTACATTTGCGAATGTCCAAGCCATGGAAAGACAGGAAGAATCAGAACTGCCCGAAGAGTTCAGAGCTTTCCCTTCTAAGAAAGTCTGTGTGTGTGTGTGGTGGTGGTGGGGGGGGAATGTGGGGGCGGGGGGATGGGGGGGATCGCAAAACGCCTTCACACGTTTCCTGGCTGCAGCGAAGGGGGAACCCCTACTCTCACTTTAAGAAGTCCCAGGACATGGCAAGATTGTTTGTGCAGGAAGGGAATCTCCCAGACAGAAAAGACAAAACTTTCCTTCTCTCCCCAGCGCCGCCCCCCTCCACCCCCACTCCGCTCCCCGGTGTTATTAAAGGCATTTCCACAGATTCATTTAGAGGGGGGAAAACGGATGCTGGAGCATGTCTAAGGTTTGCAATCCTCGCAAAGTGTCCGGTTTCACTATAGGCTTTGCTGCGGAAGAGCGAAAGGGAGAGAGAGAGGGAGGCTGAGGAGGGAGAACTCAAATTCATTACGGGCTCGTAAAGTCTCACAGGAGAGAAGCGCCCCGTTTCGCAGCCACGTCTGGGGAACGCTGGCGGGGGGTGCGTCGGGAAGGTCTTGTCCCAGCCAGGAGTGTCAGGCAACCGGCTTTAAAAGCTAGGACATGGGATGCCGTGGAGGAGGTGAGGGTGAGTCCCAGAGGCAGGCTTCAATCAGGGAACAACTTTGGGGCACTTCGAGGACTTCTAAGTCCCGGCGATCACAGCAACCTTGCCCTCGGCGGCTTTCAGGGGAATGGGGCCGAATGAAGGGGAGTGACTCCCATTAAAAAGTCAAGGAAATCAACGGTCCCCAAGTCTCCCTGCACACGCATCTCAACTGGGTCATCTTCCCTTCAACCCAAACGGAGGGCGTCTATCTATCTGGCCGTTCGGAGCCCGGGTTACATGCCCTAGGCTCTCCGGGAGCCAGCCCTCCCTGACCGAGGGTCGCGGGTCCGCCAGGAGAGCTCCGCAGGTTCCTCCCCGCGGTCGGGCAGCGCCGCCTTCCGCGCGCGCCCATTCCGCCGACGGGGCAAAGTGAGGCTCTCCGCTCGCCCGGAGGTCACCGCGCGGCTGGCGGGGCGCCTCCCGCACAGACCCCCCCGCGAGCCCCCGACCCGCCTGCCACCCGCGCCTGGACCCCCGCGCGCCTCTGCGGCCGCGGGGACGGTGCAGCCCCCGCCGGGGCGCCCTCGCCTACCTGTGATCACCGCCGGAGACCTCTGGCCCCCCTCCGCTCGCAGCCACACTTGCAGCGTGAACGCGTCCCGGGGCAGCTCGAGGTCGGCCCGCAGGCGCAGCTGCTCGCCTCGCCCGCTGAAATAGAGCGCCCGGCTCGGCGGGCTCGGCTCCTCGGCGGCGCCCCTCGCCTCCCGCTGCTGCCGCCGCCGGGGGACGCGCACGGCTTCCCAGGCACCGCCCGGCGGCGGCAGCGGCGGCGGCAGCGAGGCGCGGCGGCCGCGGGCCGCTCGGGTGGCGCAGGTGGCCGGGCCGGCGGCGGGGCGCGGGGGTCGGCCGGCCCGCGGGTCTCTCCGGACCCGGCGGGGACGCTCCGCCAGCCCGCAGCCCAGCGCGGCGCTCAGCAGCCCCAGGTGCAGCACCCAACTCCAAAGCCGCATGTCCGACGGTCCCCCCCGCCCCCCCTTTGCCCCTGCTCCGCCGCCGGGAGCTGCCAGCTTTGGGAGCCTCGGCGCCTCGACTTTCTTCGCTTCTTCACCCTTCTTGGGCGAGCCCCCCCTTCCACTTGCTTTTTTTTTCTTTTCTTTCTCGCTTTCCTCCTCAAGGTGTGTGCTCCACTCTCCCACCTTTGAAAAATACAGTCCAACTCCTCCTGGTTGGCAATTAATTTCTCTCCCCGCTCCTTTATCTGCCTTATCCCCCCCGCAACAGCTGGTTGCCTTCCTCCTTGTTTTATTTCATTTTATTTTATATGATTTCTCGCTCCTAAAAAAAAAGCTCCTCTAAGACTGATCCACTGAATTCCCTCCCCTCAAAAGATGCTCTAATTTATTTATTTTTTGCGTCCTTTATAACATAAGCCACAGCCCCCTTCTCCCCCCCCAGTCCCCCCTCCCCTCCCTCCTTCACAAAATGAAAGGAAAGAGGGGGAAAAAATCCCTCAGAAGATGAGTAAACAAGCGTATGCTAATCTGCTCCCCAGCGCTCCACCTTCCCAATTGAATGAGTCCCTGTTAAAACTGCGGGGATCATGACTAATCAATCAGTTTGGAGAGGCCGAGCTACCCAGCTTTCCTTCACTTTGCCGTTTGCCTCCTTTCCTTCGCTCCCGCTTCTCCACCCCCTCCTTTTCTCTCTCTTTTTTTTTTTTTTAAAGAAGACAATCTTAAAGTAACAATTTAATGAAATTCTGTACACACCCCCTTACGATCCTCCCAGCTCTCCTCATTCCTGCTTAAAACACACATTCCTGTTTTTGTTTTGTTTTGCTTGCTTTTTTGCCCCTCCCTCACTCCACCCTCATCATCATTATTATTATTATTTCTGATGGCAGGAGAAAAACATCTATCTCTTCTCTTAGGATCCCCTTTGCACTTTGCTGGTAAACCTCATCCTTTTCTATAGCACATAAAACGTCTTGAAACTTGATTCTCAGATTTAAAAAAATTCTCTCTCTTTCGCTCCGTCTCCCCCTCCCTCCCTTTCTCTTTTTCTCACTCCCTCACTCCCTCTTCTCCCTCCTTCCTCTCTCCTCTCCCTTTCTCTCCCTTTACCTCTTTCCCTCTTCTTCCCTCCCCCTTTGTTTTGCTTCCCCTGTCCTTTTCCCTCTCAGAATTTCCTTAAAGTTGTACCATGATGAACCATCCCCCTCTCTTCTGAGCCCCCAGAGAAGGCTGGCTTCAACTAATCCAAATGTTTCCAAAGTCCTTATGGAATCATCAGAAGAAAATAGAAGAAAGGCACTGTCCAGGACATCTGCCTTTCAGAAGCTGTCGTTCCAGTACAACTGGGTCTCTGGATTCCCCCGAATACTCTTTAACATATTCTGTTGGTCATTAGAACTTATTTTAATATTATAGGAAGACAATGAGAGAAAAATATTAATTTGCCTAATTTTTTCCAACCTAAGCAATTCAGGTCCTCTGACGTTGTTAAAGTCACAGGTAAGGATCTGACCATTTGCTACTTTGTAGGTCTGTTTTTGAACTGGAACATACATGTAATATATTTTTTTCTTCTTTTTTCCCCCTCTTTATAGAACTCAAAAGCTCCCCCTTATGGCAAAACAGATCTTCTTTTATTTTGTCCAAGTGTTTAATAAAGTCAAAACCTGTTAGCAGTGGTGGATTACAAACTATTAATTGCCAATTTATTCCAAAAAGGTAGTGATAAAAATATGCTGGGTGAAGTTTGCATGTGAATAGCGTGCTGAAAGCCTGTGATGAAATTAACTCCACTAAATTGCGACTTTCTTCCCCATGTGCTCTTATCTTGAGGGCTGCTCCAGATCTTTCTTGAGAGCTGGGAACATTGCTACACGCCTCAGGAAGAGATAAAACTAGGAAAGAATATTTGTTGGTGAAAGTATGACGATTTGTCGGATGAGCAAATGACTCAGACATCCCCTTTATGAAAGCCAGAATGTGATATATGCAACGATTATGGAACCTTTCTGAAAATGGGAGATCTCAGATTCAGAGGTTCCTAGTTTAGAAAGAAGTTGCTATATAGTCTTAGGCTAAGAATGTTTGAACTCTGTTTCTGCAGTCATAAAATGAAAATAGCACTATATCCTAAATGTGTTTTCAGAGACTGGCTGGAGGAAAGGAAATCTTGGGTGCACAATGTCATGAATAAGGAATTTGCCTAAGCAAATCTTTGACTTTTTGCAACTCCAAGTCATCTGTAAAAGGTTGTCATTGGATAAAGAGAGAGCAATATTGAACAACATAAATTATGTCATTCAAAAACCCCCTTCCTCTCCAATAGAGGCTGGACCATGACTACTGATTTACTTCAGTTGTGGCAATTAGGATTTAGAAACTGCATGTCTTCGAGGGGGATTTAAGTCATTGTATACAATAATTTTGAATATTTCTGGACAATTGGGAATTGATCAATTCTCAGACCAGCAGTGGGAGCACAAGATTTTCAGTTCTCATTTCCTACTCCCTCCAACACATACCAGTTCTCTGCCCTTGAGTAAATCCCTTCATTTCTCTCCCCTTCCACTTCCTTACCTTTAAAATGGAAATATCTACTTGGCAAATTTTTTTTTGAGGACAAGATATGCTCTGGAGTATAACATTTTGTAAACAATAAAAATGATGTATAAATACCATTCGTTGATGTCAATGACGAAGTGTTCATCAGGTTCTTAAAGACAAACTAGAATCGAGGAGGCCAAGTTATTTCTCTTCTCTAGTAGGCAGGAAAACAAAGGGACAATGAAGTTCGTGTCTTCCAGCTCTGTGAGCTCCTTGATCTGTGTCCCCAAATGCATTGAAATCATTTGGCAAGGCTTTTCTCTCATCCATTCATTGAACATATATTTACTATTTGTTTCCATCTGTGGAAACTCTTTAGGCATATCTGTGTGTGTGTATGTATATATGTATGTATGTATTTGCTTGTGTTTAATTGAGTGCATGAAATTTAACCCTTGGTTCAGGACCCACCCTAACCCTTGATCTATGACTGACATTCATATATATGTGTATATATGTATATATATATATATATATGTATATATATATATATATAACATACTATGTGCTTCTATCCCTTTTTTACTATAACACTTGATCTTTTATGGATGTGTTCTCTCTCTTTTAATCATTTTTTAGTAGAAGAGCAATCATTTGAATGTCAGGTGACTCAAGACCTAACTCTGCTTTGTGTAGGATCTTTACATCTCATTCTCTTCTCATGTAAAATGAAAAAACTGGAATCAAATATTCCTAGGATCATTTCCAGATTTAAACTATAATTGAGCCCCTAATTATTGGAGTAAGGCAACAATTCCCATCTAGTCATCCCATATTCAATTAGTTTCCTTCCATCCAGACCCGCTCCCCAGGGCCTCCCTTAAGTTTCTGGGCATTTTTGTCCTAAAAGATACTTTGACTCTATGTCTTCACTCTTATAAAATATTCCTTCAGTATTCAGTTTGTTTGGTAATTACTAAAAGCATTTTTCCTTGAAGGACATAAGATTCTACTGGAAGTTAGAAGAGTAACATCAAAGTAGAGTCCTAAAGATTGAGACTGATTTGAATGAGTGAGGTTGGTTCAAAGTACGTTTCAGAGTCACCCTGACCTGGGTTCCTATGACTCTCAGCAAGTTGTTTAATTTCTCTGAGTCTCTGTGACCTTACCATGGGGTTGTCATGAGGATTAGATTAGAGTGTTGCATGACATAGTAGGTGCTCAATAAATAAGTACTCCCCCTTTTCCCCCCCCACAGTTCTACATTTTAATGGTCATTTGAGCTTTATTTCTCTCAGCTTTTCTCTGGAGCCAGAGCCCTATGCACTTTTCATGTCAAGCCAGATGGATGATTCTCATCTTAGAATTCCTAAAGCAAGCATCATCTGTCTCACAGAATCTGGAGCTCACTGAGATAAGATCTTTCATTGTTCTTACTGTAGTGTCCTGCTTATGTCCTTTCTCCAAGATTAGAACCCTTCAAGGGTGAGGATCTTTAAAGGCAAGAATCTTCAAGGGCCAGTTCTGTCACCTGCTGAGAATCTTCAACTAACTACACCCCTCCCTGAGCGGCCCGAAGGGCTCCCTCCTCTGGGCTCTTGTAGAACTTCCTCGGAATTTCTATCACCACATCCTCAAAGCAAACTCTCAGGCATAATTACATATTGACATGCTTCTTTTTTCCATTTGGGTCAGAGACTGTTGCGTTCATATTTGTTCTTTCCCAACTGCCTAGCTCAGTGCTATGCATAAAGATGTTTGTCCAAAACACCTGCTGAATTTAAGTACATATATTTATATATGTTGTATAGCTTCCTTATGCAACATGTGGTGCCAATCATGGTGTTATTAGTCTATTAGTTTCTTGATAGTCAACTTAATTTCTTTGTTTTCTCTGTCTTAGTTTCCCCAGATGATGCATCTGTGAACACCCTGACAGATATAGTTCATCAGTTGCTCAAGTGAAGGTCCCTAAAAAGAATGTAGACTTTGGGGGTAGAATAAATTGGATTCAGATCCTATCTTTGCTGAATAACAATTCTAATAACAGCTTACGTTTATTGAGTATGCACTGTGTTCTAAGCAATATGTAAGTGCTTTTTATTGGAACAATTCCATCTAATCTTTATAACAGACTTAGAGAATGGATCTAATAATCATCCCATTTTACAGGAGAAAAACAAAACAAAACAAAACTGAACCAAAGAGACTAAATAAATAGTGAAGAGCCCAGCCAATCCAAATCGAGCACTCTGTGTACTAGCTCTAGGGGCTAGGAAAAATCACTTAACCTTTTGAATCTCGTTTTTCATTTTTATGGATTTCCTGGGGTTATCTGGAAGATTAGATAAGACGTGGATATCATATTGCACAGTGATGAGTACATATGTCAGTGGTTGTTGGGTAAACATCAGCTGCTTTGCTTCCCCCTAACAGTAGTTTGGGTGTATTAT